GCGAGCCGTGAAATCTTAAGTTAAAGTTTCGTACGACAACTAGCCTCTGGGGGTCAACAAAATTGAAGGAATAATGAAAGAAATTTCTAAACTAGCGTCTCTTTCGAGAATCTACACTAACCATAGTGTCAGAGCTACTGCAATCACGCTGTGGTCCAACGCGCAAGTTCCATCGCGGCACATAATGGCTATCTCTCGTCATCGCAGTGAAGCTAGCCTGAGGAATTACAACACTCGTCCATCCAGTGAACAGCTAAGAAACACGAGACGTAGTTCACATATCCTCTCTGGTGCATTGAATGGAAGACCATAGCAGCCAAGTTCCTCTGATGCAGCTACCAGTTCAGAAAATCCTCACGCTGCTGTAAATTCGACCGTTGTTTATTCACAGAACAACACAGCGCAGCAGTTTGTCAAGTTCCAACCACAAGCTTTAAGCAGTTGTTTTCAAATTGTCGTGTTTCTCCCTACACTTCTTTCGTGCTCTAGCCGCTTCCTGCGTGCTTTACTACAGAACAGAGCACAGTCAAGGCTTCTCTATTTGTTAAATATCAACGAATAAACAAGAAATAAAGTTGTTTCTCTTATCCTTGGAGTGCTCGAAGCAGAAACGTGCAGAGCAAAATAAAAATGTGAAAGAAGGAAATTATTACTAGTAACAATAGTAAGTAGGAGGCATTTATATTACTCATGTTAGACACTCCTGCAGACAAAATATGGACACTTGGGCCACTAGAATGGTTGCATAATTAAAAAAACTAAGTGTGATTGCTATTTGTAAGTTTAAAGGCTATTTTCTCATTAATTTGGATATTTGGATATTTTCTCATTACGCAATAATTTTGTCTTCAAGAAAAGATATCTTGAGAACAATTTATCCGAATGATCTGAAATTTTCAACATTAGTTCCTCTTGATAAGTTTTGCGTTATAAGCAGAGCAATTTTCCACATGATTTATGTACTCAAAGTTATGAAGTGAAACACTACTTCGATTTCCTAGGTCAAATTTAGTCGATCACCATTTGAAATGTTTTCAACATATCAAAAATCCATCTACTTATAACAATAAGCAACATGTATTCTTTGAATTGACACTAAAAACATTTTTTTTTTATTAATTCCAGAAGGTGTTATCTTTTCTGAAGTAACCCTTGGTAGAACCCAGCAGGTGGCACAATAAAATGAGTGGTATCCAATTACAGTTGACATGTGGAGTGTGAAATATTTTTTTTTTATGACCTTCAAGTCATAAGCTTTCCAGGGATATATAGTTTGCCTAAGTTTTCAATTAAATCCTAGCCATGAAAAATGTTGAAAAATGGGCATTTTTTCAGGTTTACCCCTGCCTTAACGATGCTTCAGTGTGTATGGAGATTAACTGATGAGTGGACCAACGTTTGTTTGTCTACGAAACAGAACTGTATTAAAATCCATATATACTCATATTGAGTAGCTTTCATACAGGTATATATATATATATGCATTAAATGTATTGTCCGTCCTTCTATGACAAAACCGCTTATTTCTTTGGGTCGATAATACGTATGCGTTATTGACCAAGTGTGAGTACAGAGGGCCCACACAAGCGGCGTGTCTGGTCGTTTGTTCCAAATATAAAGAAACGCGCCATAAACCTCACACCAGGGTAGTCAGTAGATGAATCGCCGGCGCGAATATGCTCCTGACTCCGCTCTGACATGAGGCATTTGAAACAGGGCATTGTTTTCCATCATCCAATCAGCGTGGAGCAAACAGCATGACGGTTGTTCGCTGGCACACCAAATCTGTGCCGCGGATGCCGATCGATTGGAAAGCTGCATTTCTCGAAAGTTTTTTGGCGGTTAGCGCTTGGATTTTGAATGGATCTTCGATTAAATGGCACGAGAAGAAGCGTCAACCTTTTGGTTTATCTGGTGTT